TATATAAGGGCTTTGCTGCTGAAATATGAACTGTATGGATTGTGGGTGTACAAGGTCAGGAATCTAAATGAAAGGCAGGTGTCTGTTAAAGGTACATCCCAACCCTGAGGCCTGTGACCTGTCATTACAGATTCGTTACAGTATTTATCATAATCCTTCTTTTCATACTCAACTTCTGAAGAGCAATTACACTGTCAGTCATTTTTACACTTAAGTACAAGTTGTACATTGACATTTCAGTGCACTTGACAGAACAGACTGAAAGTTGTTTGTTACTGAATTTCGTAAAATATTAGGTCTGTTCGTTCACACAGCCATGTTTGAGTGAATTCAATGTCTCAGCCAATGAATGTAACCGGACACTGCAACAACTGTCATTGATCCTTTGATTTACTGTGTTTCATCTGCCCTCTAGTGGACGGTGCAGTTACACGCAAGACGCATGCGAGGTCAAGTTTGTGCATATTTGCACAGCAATATTGATAAATTTACTGGACAATGGGCATTATAATTTATAACAAGGTTCAAAACGAAACAGTGCAAATAATATAATCAAGACATGTGTATATAAATGCTAAGTATATACATGCATACATAAAGAGAAGTGTTTATTATGTTGTAACAATTATGTTGTTAATATTCTTTTACATTTCCATGGAATTCAGTTTTATTTACAGAGCGCTTTTCACACAGTGTTTAAAATCAGCTTTACTTTATTTTAATATCTTATTGTCTTATAATTGCGATTTAGCAGAGTAATAGTGTTAATATGTGGACTCATGCAACTTATTGATTTCTCATTGGGTTAACTTACACCGGATCTCTGTCAGCATGTGATGTAATAAAATACAGCTCGTTAATAAATAAAGTTAAAAAACATTTTTTAAAAACCCCATCTCATACAATTAGCATTCATTTAACAAGTGCACTTGCGCAAAATTTTTTTTCAAGTTCAACACTTTTTGTTCCATTCAGTTGTGGTGGATGATGCTGATAAAGCGCCACGGAACGAAGAAACGTGCGTTTATGTGTGTGTGTGTGTGTTTTCTCATGTTTGATCATATTAGTTTTCTCATTTCTTTATCACAAAATGCTAAAACTGGCATCATTTTGGAGAGAATTCGGCTCTTTTAAATCTCTCTTTTTTATCCCATCTCATGGTTGTGATGCTAAACTCTCCTATGAGTTTCTATTGGTTTTGTATTCTTTGCACTGTTCTGAGCATTGATATTTTATGTGCAACAATAGCATGCTCAGGCTCAGTGGCCTTACACCTGATTTGAAATATTTTCGGCATTTCACCAAGCAAAAATCAATTGAAATCATAACAAAGAGTAAAGACCAAGCGCCTAACAAGGTCTCCGTGCGTTAAAGGTACAATATGTAAGATTTTTGTAATATAATATCCCAAAACCACTTGCTCAGTGTTATATATTTCATGCAGTTGTGTAATTACGTTATCTCAAAAGTTCCCAAGGATTTGTAAATCCAGAGAAATTCCAGTTTTAAATAATGACTTGTCCCTGGTCATTTTCGCCTATCAATGACGCAATATCCGCACTATCCTCGGTTTCCGCTTATGAATACTACGGCAACACACGTGGAGAAATGCGGAAGTGTTAGTTATACCGCATACAGCGCACCACTGTTGTGCATCACCTGCTGCCTACTTATACTCACGCTGTGATCAGCAGCAGCTGGATGCAATAATCGCATGCCAATGTGCATTGGCTCGTTTAGTTTACACTCGAAGTAGATTGGTCCCTCTAAGCGAGATCCCAATTTCGTCGGTCCTCCGACATGACGTCTCCGTTCCCTCCTTCAGGGAACGAGGGTTACATACGTAACCGAGACGTTATCATGGATTATGATTACACTTTGGAAAGTACGGAATATCCCAAAAAACTTAGACGTACACCAACTAAGGCAAGAAGGCATTGGGACAAACACAGACATAAAACTAGAATAAATATCGGCGTGGCGTTTCCAGAATGGAGAGAGCTTTGTGAAAACCTCGGACTGGACAGAGACTCTGCTCTCGCATATGTTTTAATAGACAGGTAAGCAAATATTATCCGTGGAAATTATTCGTGAAAACGACATCTCCCACCGTTCCATGCTCTGTCATTGCATTATCGAGCTTCGCCTCTGTTATTGTTTTGAAAATGCGACCTCTAGCGGCGAAAATGTACATATTGTACCTTTAATTCGAATGGTTTGTTTTCCCCCCACAGCATAAACGGATATGACGTTTTTGTGGGCGTTCCCAGTAATGCCGATCAAGTCATTATTAATAATTTTGAAATGTAATATGCAAAATTGCAATGCAATATGCAGTGTATTTCTGTATTTAAATTTACATTTTCCCAGACATTTGTGCAACATTTAGGGCAAAATGAAAATTTACATTTGTCATTTCCTACACTAGTTGTAATATGTAAATTAAATACATATTTTAACGCTTTATATGTTGCAAAATTAAAATTAAAATGTATTCCCCAAATTGATTAGATATGTTTTAAATGTCCAAGCAAAAACTGTAGCAAAATTATCCTTTAAATGCTGTTTTTCCTAAATGCATTTAGACTTCCGGGTATACTAAAATTTTGTGGGCCCTGAATGGGCTACCCCACAAGGGGCCCTGGGTGTTTTTTTGTTTTGTTTTTTTGGGCATGCCCACAGTGGGTTGCCCACAGAAAACCCACATAGGGCCCCTAAAGGGCAAAACTACTGTGGGCCCTATGTGGGCTAACACACATGGGGCCCACATGGGTTTAGTGTGGCTTTGCTCTGCCCACACTGTCCAACAGAAAACCCACAGTGGGTCCACATGGGCATGTTTGCTGGGACAACTTATTACGTTGTCATTCACTCCTGACAAGAACCACCCACTGAGGCTCTGACCGACAAGTAAACTGTCCAACCATCCAGCCAATGAGATGAGATCTTTAAAATCCTGGCAGCTCACTGGTGTGTACTTTACTAGATCAATCTATTTGAAAATTAAAATGGACAAAAATTTCAAAATTCTTAAAGCTGCAGTCCGTAACTTTTTTGGATAAAAAATGATCCGAAATCAATATTTGAGCAAGTACATAACCAGCCAGTGTACTTTAGCCCAATTCACAGTGGTTAGCTTATAATAATGTTTTCTAATTTGAGTGGTACAGGTAGGTTTTCACGGGATATTCGAGCATGGCACTTCGTCATTATGTCATGTCTGTAAACATGAAGAAGTTGTCCCGGCTACTAGGCTATCGCATGTGAGGATCCTGCAGGTGGCGGATCGTTTATAGCCTTTTCTCACAGCAGTCAGAATAATTAAATGTATCATTGTGATGACGGATTGTAATCCAGAAAGGATTATGTGTTTATGAAACACATGTGAATGGAATTATATTCCCGTTATAAATGTGCTTATGATTACAGATAGTCTGGGATTACACAAGATTTGTATTTGAAAGAAAACCAGTTCGAAGGGAGCATAATTAGCTTTTTGGGTTAAAAGAATTTGTTAATATGAAATTCGAATGGCATGACAATTAGAGATTAGACTGTGCAGAAATTGAAATCTACATGCTAATACACACTATACTCATAGTCACGCAATGCTGATGTTGTTAACATTAATAATTTGAGAATAAAGTATAACAATAATAACGGTTTGATGTGATGTGAGCTAACCGATCTTTAGATTGAATCACCATTGGTAGCGCGATTTATTGTAATGCTTTTTTCCTCAGTTGGTCAGAACAAACGTGGCAGACTTGTTACTTACTTGTTCAGATGACAATATCCGGTGAAAATGCTTATTTGGGTCATATATTCCAAGACGTAGGCAAAAATCTGTGATTGCGAAGTACAGTAAATATCCACACCGGTGCGGTGACTGACTGTCACACACACATACTCCTCAAAATATTAGATTCATCTGCGCTGGAGCCATGCCGGAGCACAACCCACGCAAGGCAGATAATTCCGCACACAATTGCAATTTCAGGTTTTCAAACAGAGTTGGCGACAAAGAGGCAAAACGTACGGACTGCAGCTTTAAAAAAAAAAAAAAAAGCATCTAACTGTTGCGCATCTAACCTAGGACACACATTTAGAACAATTACATGAATGGTTTGGTTAGCATTTTGTCTGTGGCAGACATTTCTTCATGTCAGGGCAACAATCGCAAAAAAACAAGTAATATGGTTATGGATGTCATATTCAAAATTAATTATGCAATTCGTAAGTGCAGTGTAAATGCATGCTCCTTAAAAAATATAAGTGTATAGAACCCTGCATGCTTAATTATACTTAGCTGTAAGTGTTTGTGTGTGTATTATGTATGTGAGTATAAAGCTTGGTGTCATGGTGTCTCTGTTGTAGATTTTAAACCTGTTCAGTATTAAGGATAATTGTAGATTAATATTTTCAGTTTATCTCAAAGTGACATTGCGATTTGCAGCACTGAAAGATTTACCTCTTTTAAAAAATAAAGCCACTTAGCCAATGTAACTTTTAAACATTTTATTTAAAGTGTATCCCATGTATTCTGACACATGGATGTCTCTGGGCTAAGCCCCGGATATCCACTCACCCTAGAACCATCCCATTTTATTCTCAATTTAGATTCAATATTTTAAATCCATCCACTTATCCACACACTACATAAATACACATTGCACATGTCTCTGCAATCAAAAACATCTGATTCAACTCATCAGCTTGTCAGTAGAGTCTTCCAAGAATTAAAATGGGTGTGTTAAATAAGGTAAACTAACAAACTGTGCTGTTGGGGGGCCTCCAGGAACAGGGTTGGGAACAACTGCACCTTACATGATTATTTCAAATTTTATATAAATGTATTTATAGAATCATCTACTGCATGAAATTTATAATCAACTTAGTTTTACTGATTATAAGCTAAATGTTATTGTTAAAACTGGATATTTTAAACTGATTGCTATTTCAAAACATTTAGTCTCCATGTTCATATTAATAATCATCATCCCAAACAATATTTTGTTCAAAATACCATAATTAGGCATAATTCTTTTGTGAATGATCACTTAGCCAAACGAGTCTTTACATTGTCATTCGCCAGCTGTATAATTTGAGTTAATGCCTGTAAAATCAGGACATCCATGTCATCATTGGTTTCGATTTCCTCGTGGTAGTTCTTCACTGGAAAGACGTGGCACATTGGAACACCCACTTCATTACTGCACCATACCATCTAGGAGAACAAAACAATCAGGAGGTCAAACTTAAACTCAATGTGCAAGTCAGAAGCAGGATATGAAGCTTGACATTTGTGAATAATTATTTGAATAACAATTTACCTTCTCTTTGATTTTTTTGCTGTAGTAGACCCTCTGTAAATTAGTTTTCACCACTGGACATGTTTGATCCACATTTGTCATGACAATGACCTGGGGCAACCCTGCAATATGTGCAGATGAGATTACATTCTTCAATATATTCTAAACATGCTTTATATATTGAATTATTTTTAATTTATTTATTATTTATTACATAAAATAATTCAAAGTAAATGTATTAATTATTAATAAATTAATTCAGTCATAGAGAAAATTAATATTAATCTGCTTTAATGTCCCCGCAATAACTCTTCATCTTAAAATGTATTGTAAAAATACTTTGACTAATACTTCCTATAGCAAATGCAACGTTAAAAGATAAAAAAAAAAGATAAATGCATGTAGTCTATACTGTAATCTCTGTAATGTCTTAAAAAAGAGTCACCAGCTTTGCAAAATTTTTTATTATTTTCATTCAAGAGAATAAAAAAGTTAACATAACTCTGTAATCACTGGTAAACTTGACAGAACTATATTGCTATTGAAACCATTGATGTAAGAGCTCTTACCAAGCTTTTTGACTTCATGACGAATATTTTTCAGCTTTTCCAGAACACTTTCATCTGTGAGGTGGATTCTGTCAGCAGCTAAAACATTCACTAGGCAGAATGCCTGATCAGAGGGTGCTGGTTTCTCAATGTAGTCTGGATCACCTGAAGATAGTGGTTTTTCTGGTTTAAACTAAGATTGACCAAAGACCAAGCAGACATCGGAGTACAGACATTAAAATGTAGAATATAAAACATAAACATGTTTAAAGATTATTTTAAGAAAGTATTCAAAGGTTTTATTTTTTTGCCTCATGTCCTTCTTTGACATGACCATTAATGGCATTGATGATGTCCTCCAGAGGGCATCCTTGCCTAAATCCTTTTTCCAGACCCATGACATCATTGATGACTACAGTCAAACTGGAATTGCCAGTTTCAATTTCATATGGTGTATACTACATGAACAAACACAAATTACATGGCATCATTAAAACAAACACATTCACACACTCGTGCAATCTATTGTATTTGGACCTTCTGTGAGGCGCATGTGGTGGATATATAATGTGAAAACAAACTTACGTCAACTGTAAAACTCGTACTACCAATTGTATTACTCAGTGCATCGCTGGTTATCCGTCCTTTGAAGGCATTATTAATAGAGTTTATGAAACTTGATTTCCCTGAACCATTTGGGCCGACAACTAAGATCCTTAAGTATTTCAGATCATTTTTGCATGGTTTGATCTC